TTTCAGGCAATTTTGCTGCGACAGCAGCTTCTCATTATCCACTGAACAGTAAACTGTCAGGTTGAATTGGCATCTACTGGCCAACGTTTTACTGGTTTGATAAAAGTTGAGACAAGTCAAGAAAGTTTGCGAAGAACGGTTGAAAAAACAAACGGTGAATGCTTCTTAGTGGAGCTTACCGGTCTTTCTTATATTAAAAGTGATTTGAGCAGACCGATTGAAAAAAATGTAATTACGGAAATACAACTAACAGGAAGGCATTATACTCCTTCTAACCTTATGGTGATTTAGCATGGAGTATTTAATTCGTTGCTGGTTCATCGGTGGTATCTACTCTTTAACTAGTGCCTTGGACCTTAGATGAATAGATGCTGAGTAAAAACAAAGCTCCGAAAACTACTAGTGTTTACTAGCTCCCCGGTCTGTGTAGCTATGCAATTTGGGAAAATCACTCATAGACGAAAGCTGTAAGTACAGACATAAAAACTGACCCCTTTGACACTCAGCGATAGAGAGTGGGAACAGTGGAGTCCTCAAGTAAAATGACCCATAACTTTTGCAAATTTGACGTCACCGACACATGAAGTAATCAAGGTAAGGCAACCGTCATTGAAGCGAGTCTGTGCCGAAAAGCCAAGAAGCGCTGTTTACCTGTCTCATACCTATTGGGAAGCATCATCAGCGGGCATCTCATGAAAGGTGAACTAAGATTACTTTTATGCAAGGAAAGTAATAGTGCATACTAAGTGCATTGGATGGTGATTGAATTGTTAACAAAATGCAAGAAACCGAACCAACCCAGCGATTACTGAACAACTGAAAGTTTGTGAATGATCACCGCGTCATCCTCAGTCACAAAGGGAAATGCGTGAAAAGTCTACAGACACGTGAGACGGAGGGGTGAAGTCGACGCCTAATTAAAGATTGAGTGATATGATCTAGATAACGGGACCAAGAAATGGCTGGCTAACGTCTTGGACGTGACTTGCGACATCAATTCACAGGGCTCCAGGAGCAAATACCTCACTGAGAAGCACAAGAGAAGCGAACAATTTACAAGAAGCATAAAACCGCTTCACAGCTACGACTGTAAAAGTCAGCCCAAGTCTGCATTTTATAATGGGGATTAAAATGGACAACAAGGTGAGTGTTTAACAAAGGACTAATGTGAACTGGAACATCTAACTGTTCACCAATGGTTGCAATAAGTAGAAAATTTGGAAATCTGTATGAACAATACTAAACTTCTTATTTTCATCATATGACAAAGGAGTGGTCGCGGTCACAGGGTTCTTCGGTGCAAATTGCCACTGTACTTCTAACGTTCACAATGGGGAATGAGTAAAGCAGGTTAAATTAGGTTCAGCAAGGCCAACGGTGGAACAAAGCATCCAACAAAGTTCACCTGATTACAGAGCACTTACAACAGATATTTGTCGACACAAACTATTCATAAAACGAATGAATCCGACCAGCACAATGAAGGTTCTTCGAATTTGCATTTTTGCTTGTCTATCGCTGACCATGAATGCAAAAGGCGGTGCGGTTACGTAATGGGAAAGTGTCCTATCGGCAAGAGAGATCTACTGAAACGTTCATTCGACCTCTTTTAGTGTTCATCAAGAACTGTGGCTGAAGGTAGGTGTCATCTGGCGCAGGAGCCTAGCGATCTGTCCCTAGTAAATTTAACCATTAGTGGCTCTTAGATCCGGATAGATCTTCCATCAAAGTGCTGATGCTTCCTGGTGATGTATGTCCCACACAAATGGATTACCTTCCATTATTGCCCGTCAAGAGCATGTTTTGCAACCAAACCGTTTTTTAAGTTGCGTTCACTTAGCCAGAACCGACAGAACCGAATGCCTTATTTCTGCAGAACTTCCGTTCTCTGTTCTACTCTGAAAAAGCCACAATTCCGTTTTTTAAACGCAGAATAGTTGCATATTGTCATACAGATATACACTAGTAGATCTGGATTACCGTGGAAAATAGCTTGCTGTAGCCACTTCCATAAAAACCGAATTATTCAGTATCCGCATGGGTTAATCAAACAGCGACCCTAAGAGACACTGTGAGTAAAACGTCACCGTTTCAGAGAAAAATCGCCGTCAACACCGCGGGACGCTCAAAGACAACTCCCACGAATAATCAGTTCTTCTTTTCCTTACACTTTGGAGTATATGACAGGTATCCAGTGGTACATTTGGTTCTGGAATTGACTCTGATCTACGGGGATTTAGGCACTGCAAAATTACTTCAAGTAAAGTATAGCGCCAGTAAGACGATAACCGGATTAATTTATTTTCCACAGCTACGCCCTAGCTGTCTCATACAAAACCCCTACACAAGTCTAGTAATGTCGTTGTATACCTAATTAGTTTTTGACATTAAATGTCAGTCCGAAATGGATTAATCCAGTTGACTTCATCATTCGAAATGTGCATTTATCAATGTTGGGAGTAGGCAGAGATGCTTAAAACTATTTTAGGAAACCTTAGGAATGTGCCATCCTTAACAAACTTTCGCTTTAAAATAGCTTCACACCGCGAATTGAGCCCATATATAGTTCTTCAAGACACCAATGCTGCTTCTATCTACTATCTAAAGAATTACTAGCTTTACCACGCGTAAACTGACCGGTTCTATTGACCCTGCCTGCCATACGACAGATTCATAACCATGAAGTCCACAACCATTACTCGTTTGTCATCAGCGCCAACTAGAAGCCTGACGCAGCGTTTTCTTTTGACCGTTACTGAGTTTTGCTGTCTTGCGAAGTCAAGCCATCCACTGAGGGAGATGAAAGTCTACTTATTTTCTTGTTGTCCCATCCCTACCTGACCCCTGCCTATGCCCCGCTTCGGACACCTACAGAATTATCTCTTATGAATGCGTAATGTTTGTTTGCTTCTAGCCGTTATTTTGAGGCACCAGCTGTACACACCATGTGTTGCTTAACGTTTTCAACCAGGACAGCCTGTTTAAGAGGCTTCGTCATTTCAGCACGTGTATTATTGATTGACCTAAAAGCATCACAAACTGACTGAACCAGCGGAGAATCTCAACTGGTAAGACGTTCAAAAATTGTGTACCCACCCAAAACTTGGGATTGTATTTGACTGGTGCAATTTACCTGGGTATAATCCCTGTTTTTGTGAACAAAGTAAAATCATTTACAACAGGACCGTAATTTCTTCGCTTCCACTCAAGTGACCACTATTTTCATCATTATCATCAAACAATAAAATTTGTTTGTGAACTCTCAAAGAATATCAAGCTTATTGTAAGTAGATGAATCAGTAAGTAAGTATAATAGTTAGGGTAGGGTAGTAAGCCTTTTCTAATGTTTACACCGAAAAACATCTTGGAGTTCACAAGAAAACATTGAGTTCACTCACTATGGTCTCATCAGTGTCTTTTCCCTTGTGAGAAAATATCGTATGACATAAAAGAGCAAATAATTAATTAATAAATACCTATGAAGCTAATAACTCGCCAAAGTAACTCGGTCATTTTGGTGAACAGTGAAACAGTTTTACCCAGCAACTTCGATTTCCCTTTCTCCTTTGGATCACGGAAATATTCCGGGTCATTTGAAGTTAATATGGTTTTTGGGCAGCCCCCATTTCACAAGTAAAACTACAAGATTTAGCCTTAAATATAGGGAAGCTAACCATGACATTTATTGCGCATGATGTCGTGAAAATGTAAATTTTTTTGGAATCTATCAATTTTTCGTGCGACTGTTAGACGTGAAGGCAAAACGTAAAACAGCGTATGCTGTCATCAGCGTCCCTCGTTTCTGAAGAGCCATCCTTCCATGTTATCGTCTGCGTTGCTCACGTGGATCTTGCTACTTTTCCATCATACAATGAAAGTTGTTGGGGCGAATTTGGAAATCTTTATACCTCGTGGAATTTTCGGACTTTTGTTGGTGTATTTTCTCCGAGCGTATTTCCAAGAATGGGAAATGGGAACCTTCTCAATCTGGGCATATTTTTGTCACTGGAAATACCGCAGCCTACATAAAGAACGAAGATTCTGGGAACATCCCTGTCACTTCCAACATTAGAGCTTTAACCGCATCTTCTAGCTGCTTGAACACCACTGATATTTGCTCTGTTGTGTCTGGTGCATATTGTCAAACGTGTAACTGCCTGCAATTAACCTTGCGAGTAGTTTTCATTATACAGATATATTGCGATTTCTCGAATATCACATCAACTGAAACATGAGGCAGCTTTTGTACAGCGCATTCAGTTGCTTAAGAACATTATAAACGAGGGATTCAGTTGAGTCTCCTATGGAAACCGAATTGATATGCAAATGAGCGTATCTGTCAACATCTGTCCGAATTTGGTTCAAGCGGAACATAAGGTTGAAGAAAACTCGGGAACTGCGTCTACTTGATGAGCTTCAACAACTATCAGCTTCTTCCACCGTTGGTAGTTGCCAAACACGAATGGCGGACAAGACCGCAGTTGATTATAGTAAATGACGCTACGAGACTCAGCGAGAATCCTGATCAGTGACATTGATATCTGTTAACTCCCTTGAACTTCAGATGCGTGAATTTCATTGTAGTGATGACTTTGTACGATGTTTAACAAGTTTATTAATCTGTTAACTCCTCATACACCTACGCTTTGATCCTTTGAATACAAGATTCAACTTATTTTTCGAAATTCGGTAACGTCAGCAAACCAAATGGCCTTTGGCAACATAGTAAGCATTGTTTGTTCTGGTGTATTTGCCTGGTGGGCTATCGCATCATCAGGCTCTAAATGATGCTCGGAACTGAAGATATGGCGTAGATTCAAAATCAGTGTCGAACTAAATAACAACTTTTGTTTCTACTCATTTCAGTTGACCTCGAAGGCACCCGGATGCCATTTTTTGACTGGTTAGCATGACCACATACAAGTAGGGGACAGCAATTAAGCAACAGAATCAAAAACCTATATTCTTCTGGATTCGTGAAATGCCCTTTCGTATTTCAGAAATTGAAAATGACGCATGGTTTTCTTCTGATTTACTTGCTCGTTGGAACCGTCAGTCTGCAAGTCCACACGGTAAGAGATAAATGACTTCATGTTTGAATTTAGCGAAAAAGCAAAAATTTACAATTTAGAACTGCCATTTTCGTTGAGTTATCTAGGCACCTGTTTAATATGTGAAAATGCCTTCCACAAATCGAGGAATTAGTTCACTTCATTTGTGTTCTAAATCTTATTGTTTTCATTTTTTTCATCTAAACGATAATTTTAGGTGTTTAAAATTTGCTCATTTTGTAACAATTTCGTGCAACACTTTAGCTAAAACTGCCGCTTCTCTACGTATGCCTAGTCCCTCAACGTAGTTGTTTTAGAAGACCTCGACAGAGCACAGCCGTCACTGACTCCGGGTGAATGTAAACATGTTTCAAGTTCAATGGCATTCAAGGTCGTTTGAGGTCAGTAACCTTCTTCGGTTGGCTTTATACCTTTGGCTTTGTAAAATTCATTCGCGAGCTCAAACCCCAAGCCATCGCCCGAATTTGTCTTATAAGGTTTGGCAAAATCACATCTGAAGTGGCATACGTGATGAGATATTTAGCAAGACGTTTGTGCACATTTTTACACGCTTTGAATTATTTCCGATCTATACAACTCAACAAATATGCCTGATGTCTTAGTAAACCGCCATTTATTCCAAATAGCCTTGGCGGTAACCGACTATTTGCCCCACTGGAACAGGGGTATTAATTACGAATAGCTCATTGTCAACAGAGAGGCTTACCGGAAACCTGAACCATAATGCTGTGCAACTCCAAAAGCATGTATCACAATGGATAAGGCCCTCAGACGAAGGTTAACATTCCTGGTTGCCTTATTTTTCTTATTGAGAAAGATTTACTGCCTTTCGAATAGATGCTTTAGAGAAGGTATGTCTCTGGCTGTCAACACCCCGGTCTGTATGTAAAGCCACGGTACGAGACGGATACCCAAACATTATGGACGAGTTGTTCCTGAAGCCAACTTTTCATTGTTATCCATTATTACAACGCATTTCAGAGTGACATCTTTAGTGCAAATAGTGGTTGTAAGAATTACCCAACTCACATATATTGCTTGCTCAGGAATGCATTAATGTTACGTCCCGACCACTGTGTTTGGTAAATAAACCGTACACTACACATATAGGCTGTGTACACAAATAACGGTATTGCACGTGGATCCCTGTGGTGCCGTCCCAGCCAACACTGTGTGGGGTTGCTCTGAAATACGCGGCTTTTTCAAGATTATGGGTGAAAGCACGTTCAAAACTGTCAGGAAGGGATATCGGTGGGAAGTTTTTGTCTGCCGTGAGAAGGCTCTTAGTGTTTTGAAATGTGTTTGTGTTCGTTGTCGTTACAAAATGCATCAAAATCACGAATTAATTTTCGTAGGGGTGAATAAAAGAGAATGCCAACTACTAAAAGTGACGGATGATATCATGAGCTGAAAACGTTATACGTTTTTGTTCTCTTCCAAAATGTTTTGTCTCATTTAAATTAGTGAACAAGCATTTGATGATAGCAATGTTTGGTCTCCTTCCCATTACTCGTTCTTTGTGGCAACATTGATCGGTTTTAAGTGAATGATTTCACTCTGTGTATTCATCCGTACCCATTTCGTTTTATGCGCGATTAGGTGCTACAAAAGATCCAAGCGTTTAAATTCTTCTCCAAAGTGAGAGTTTCTCAGATGTGCATGAGTTTATCAGATCCTAAAAGTACATGAGACCATGTAACAAATTTAGCATGCACGAACAATGTTCTGGGTCTTTGTGCCCCCCCCCCAATACATGTATCTTTCCATTTTCTAACAAGGTTAGTCTGCCTAACTTTGAGCACCTTTACGGCACCCGGGTTATTTCCGATTCTTATGTCGTCGATCCCAAATTCGGATAAGAAGCCACTAAATAAAATTCGACAATCCTTTGTAGACGAATAAGAGACGCCGCAAGAGGAGTGGCCTTCTAGTGAGTTGATTGCGTGTGTATATTTCCACATTCTGGTCTACTTGTTTTCTACCGTTGGCTAGTCAACCTATTAACACCTGCCATCAACATTCATGTTTCTTATGAGTACTACATTCAACTGAAGAAACTCAGGGCAAACCTTGGGTCGCAGCGTGATTCCACGCTTACTAACATTAATTCTGCTATGGCATCTTTAGTAGCCTTCTAGACTGATGTAACAATACTCAGATACGAATATTCTCTCTTCCTTCCCTGTTCACGTAGTTTACTGCGCCGAAACGAGCTAGCCTTTCATACTTCAAGCGAGCAGAGCAACCATCACCGCATCCATTTTTAGATTCATCATTGACGGAGGACTTAGAAAAACGGGCCAGTCTATCCTATTTCAAGCGAGCCATTCCACCCTTGAAACGAGCGTCGTTGTCATACTTCAAGCGAGGTCATTCTGCATTCGACGGAGAAGAAGATTTGGAACAACCTTATTATGTCTACAACGTGGGTGTGTTGCCCGAATCGGAATCGGAAATGGAGGAACGGCGCCCTGTTCATCAAACTCAACACCATCATCCACATCTTGAAATGGACTAGGCGTAATTGACTCACAATTCCAGAACGACCCGGCCCGATTCTTTGCATGCTATTTGTTTGAAAGCATTTGGTTCGTCAGTCCATGAATTGTTGATCACAATACACCATTTGCAAAGGAACCGTCAGTTTTTTCACTTGCTTTGAGTCCATTCTGATCAAAAGACAAAAGGTGAACACTTGGGGATTTAGCGCCAATATGAATGATAAGAGCGACTTCAACTCAAATGTTCCACAAGAATTTGCCATTAGTCCCGAATCTAAAACCGCTTCTTCGAGCAAAATGTTTAAATATTCCAAACATGCGCATCATTTTGTGAGGAGTGTGAACAATAACCGCTTGCAATAGCGGAGAAAGTGAGCATAAAACAAGCAGCCCATGAAAATGGAGCTAAAAAGTAGCAAGGATAACTATTGGTTATGCATGAACGGTACACAACTCGTTAGAAGAACGACAATTTACCGGAATGTGGGTTTGAAAGGGGACCGGAAAACTTGCTGAGAATACACATACAGAATAACTGTGTTGCCAAATACTCTGATCTAACAGATATTCGCGGAGACAGATTCTTACACAGATTAACTATGTTAGATTTCCATAATACAGTGTGTTTCACAAGTCATGGGACGGCAGTGCGTTTGAAGCTGTAACTTCAGGAAATACCACCTCTTAGTGACCGAAGCTAGCAAAAAAATAAACCCGATTTCCTCCATACGAGATAAGTCAAAGTACTGATTGTTCATACTCATGTCTGACAGTTACAAAACGGAGTCCAAAGTTGACCAGCGTTCGAAGGGTCTCGAGAAGGAAACTACCCACAAGTCCGACGGAGATATTATTTCACTATTGTCATTCTCATTGCCACTGGTAGCAACATATCAGTCTTGAATACAGATTCTTCTAACCTGTTATGCAACGAAAATATAACGTGCAAAGAATTCCTAAGTCCTTGAGTAAAGCGATAATGAGTAAGGTACCTACACATTCAAACGACATGAAAAAACACCTCAAAATCACCTCGAATGAAGTCGCCACTAACGGGATTGCCCCAGCGTCTCTTGCGTATCTCAACCGAGTTAGGCCGAACGCACAAGCACAGATGAACTTTCTCTAGGCCATCCGGCTAGGATACTACGCACTATTGGGGTCACTTGCGTGTCATGCTCTGCAAGATTTCTAGTGGCGTACAAGCAGACTCACGTAAGTTCAGAAAAGCTCAAAATTCCCACAACACTCGTTTTATAGCTGCCATCATTTCACATCGCTATCTCATGGCCTCTTCTTCAAACGAATGAGAATGCTGGCTCCTGACCCCTCAGTTCATTTGCTAACACACCAACTCGTGAACATTTTGTAACCGGTCCAAATATTCATGCGATTCAAATGTCTGTGAGGGCCGAACATCAGCACCTACAACACTGAGTGTGTGAGGAAAACTTAAACAAGACGAATTACTCCTTGTAGAGTTAACAGGCAACCGACAGGAGGCAAGTTGTCAGCCATACTACCTTTTGGTCGAAGAGCTGGGGTAGAGCTCGAACCACGTAGATTCCGTTCAGCAAGTTCGTGAGCCACCACAATTAATAAGAATTGCAAGGGAGTGCAAGTTTACTTTCCTGCCCCAAGAATGGATGCAGTTAGCAGTCACCTGACAGAATCAAATGAACCTACGGTGCTGTGCAGCTCCAGTTGCTACCACAGACCAGGGGTATGTTGTTGACGGCAGCCAAACAGTCAAACTCGATGGAGCCGTTTTGAGCAGGTAAAAGAATACATCCCCAAATGCTTTCCGACCGGTACAAATCAATCCAACAACGATCCAACCGATCCAATGCGTGCCTGAGCCGAAGGGGTGCTCTTCGTGAACTACCCTTACTCTAGTCCTTCGGAAACGAGTACTTCTCTGCAGTTTTGCACTGGTACTTCAAAGTATTCTAAAAGCGCACTAATAGCCCTTTAGAGGTCCTGAGGGCTCAGTTGTACGGCCGACATGTGGTGGCGTTTTTGCAAATGTTGATGTTGTCGAGGTACATTTCGAAGGTTCTGTCTTTAAGCGGTGCCAGCTTTGTTGTAATGGTGGCCAGCATGAATTGCAGACGGAGCCTACTGTCTCCCGAGAACAACGGAACACTAAATCAGTTATATTCCCTGAGGTGTTGGAAATTTCCATCCTAATTTATACCTGGTGAATTTTCCCAACAGATGTTAGGAAACAAATTGCAGTCATCTGCCACCAACACGGCAGCTCCGCTAAATGCACATGAATAAAATATGGATTCCGATTCAGCAGGGCTTCGTAAACATGGGCTAATAGAAAGAGTAAGACCAGAGTGCAAATGGTAATTGGGATCAGCCGGGAAAATCCTTTCCCACATTGGGCAGCATTTGTGATCAAACGGAAAAGTAGTCGTGAACTGAGGTTTGGTGGACCATGAAAATACTGATCAACTCAATAGATGTTTGCGGTGACAGGAAGGGATTTGACCAACTAGGTCACCTGCTGGAAGGTGTGTTTAACAATCACTTGGAACAGGATTTTCAGACATGGAAAAGACTGCTGGACAAAAAATAGTCGCAGTTTGGCACTCCTACCCAAGCCTTCATCATCTCCCATGCTCTGTTTCCATCGAGGTTCTGCAGTAAAGCGCAATTCTCTACTTGGATTGTAGTCGGTGCAAAATCTACGAGCCCTGTTGTTCAGACTGTTGAAAAGGTTTAGCGTGGGTGAGTCGACGCAATGCGCCGTGAGGCTACCGATACACCGGGTTAACTCAAACACAGCAGCACGTGTAGGCACAGCAAACACAACACACGGGTAGGGGAGCAGAACGACCGCGTTGCAAACACACGCATATTCGACACCGAAACCGGAACCGGAACAACGGGTACAAGTCACGCGTGATACAGAAAAACAGGTCAAGGTCACTCCGAGGGGTGTACCAGCAGGCTACTCCTTCCTGACCAGCGCTCGTGGTGACTCGTCCGGGATACTGAAATTGGGTGCTCTGTTTCCATCGAGGTTCTGCAGTAAAGCGCAATTCTCTACTTGGATTGTAGTCGGTGCAAAATCTACGAGCCCTGTTGTTCAGACTGTTGAAAAGGTTTAGCGTGGGTGAGTCGACGCAATGCGCCGTGAGGCTACCGATACACCGGGTTAACTCAAACACAGCAGCACGTGTAGGCACAGCAAACACAACACACGGGTAGGGGAGCAGAACGACCGCGTTGCAAACACACGCATATTCGACACCGAAACCGGAACCGGAACAACGGGTACAAGTCACGCGTGATACAGAAAAACAGGTCAAGGTCACTCCGAGGGGTGTACCAGCAGGCTACTCCTTCCTGACCAGCGCTCGTGGTGACTCGTCCGGGATACCTGAAATTGGGAGAGAGAGGTAGAGGTGCACACGTAAGGTCATATGTTAAACATGTGTAAGCGGGAACAGTCAAGTTTCAAACGCGTTACAAAGTTCTCATTCATATTCCCCGCTAAAAGGACCACGGCAGTTCGTGCACCGGCCGGATCAAGTCCCTTTTTAGTGAAACTATGCTCACCATGTTGTTCAGGGTGGTCCAACAAGCAGAAACAGTCGTTATTTCTATTTCGCGACATAGCGCCAAGCTTGAGGTGGAGAATTAATTTGTTGAGTATCAGTAGCCGATGAGCTAAGTGTCAGGATTTTAGCGTCTGCAGAGGAAAGACTTTCAGTAAAACCAACCTTAAACTATACACACAAACCTACCGACCATAGCCACTCCAGGTAAAGGGCTCCTCGCTACGTCATATGAAGGGATATCACTAAGCAAAACTCAGTTTTGATACTACAGAATAACAATCTGTCGTTAATTGAAGCGCCAGCTTCAGTAGGATAACAACGGTGAGGTCCTAACGAACAGTTCGATCTTATGTAATTTTGTACTAAAATTTCATTCACTCTGTTGTTTGCAATATAGCCGACCTTTGGCCTCTTCCTTGGGATTTCCTACCCAAGTACTTAGTATATCGAATGCAGTAGAACAGGTTCCAATAAGCCCCGCAAGCACACAGTTAGAACACTGTCGGTCCGCTTTCCAATATTTCAATTTCAGCCGACCAACTTAAGATGATTTTGGAACACCAGCAAAAGTAACTTGAGCACACACCTGAAACTTGCAGAACCACTGACCAAATTTTGGGTATTCAGGCTTCCGAAAGTCAGTCAATAATTTCATCCATAGAGTTTATCGCTAATTCTGTCACCAAATTCACCGTTGCCGCGGAGACAGACCGAATTTTCGACTCCTGGTTCAAAAGGTTCATAGTTGATTTCGCCAAGCAAGATGATTCATGGGAGGTACGGCTGTAACTTCGAAAATTTGCCTCAAAGGAACATAAATGTTGCACGAATTAGATGCTTCTTACACAGTACAGTGATCTCAGCTTCGACAGGGCTATCCGGAATCTTACTCATACCTCTGGGGACAGCACATCTTTTTTCAATATTCGCTAACAATACCGATGTCTAAAATTGGTGTTGGAGAATAATGACCTTCTCAGTTTTATAACACTTGGAAGGCGAGGATGCGATCTTTTCAAGCCCAGTGATATGGACGAAAATCAGTCCGAATGCCTTACATTTATATATGGCATCCAGTCCTCTCGTCACGCAGACATTCAGACAAGATTGTTGCACTAGCTTGAACAAAACCCAAAGATAACCATACAGGAGTTAAAGTGCTGAAGGTCACCGCCTCATCCAACTGAACCAGGACAGCACAATTATTGGCCAAGCATTACCTGGTTCATACGACATAGTTCACCATGTTTTCCGAAATCAGAATTAAACGTCTCAGCCCACCTACCATGTCCGACACAATAAAACCTCTACACCATGTTGACCTTGCGGTGACTGGCATTATTTTCGTTGAGAAACACCAAGGTCGGACATGCAATCCTATTGAGTACAAGCAAGAAGTTTGTATCCCACACAGAACCAAGCCGACTGATCACCAAGCCCACTGATACTGTTCCCTCAAAAACATTTGGATGTCAGACAAGCTAAGTGAGGCTTCTGATCAGAAGCTCAGATTCAGGTCAATTGCATTGTCCCATTCATCCTGAAAATGCAATATCAGGTG